ACCCAGTGGCTTAAAAATCATGCCAGGCACATGTGCATACATGCCCAAAATCCATAGAAGAGAATGGAGGAGAAGGGACTGTAACATGGCCATCCCCCCTGGGGGGGCGGTGATCTCTCACTTTCCCTCTCTCTCTAGCAAGTGCATGTGAAAATGAATGTGAATTCTGAGTGAGCAAGCGGCATGCCTTGTGTGTTGTGCCCTGCGTTGCACAACTTCTGGCTAGCTGGGGCACCCCACCCTTGTTTCAGACGAGATGAAGGGAGCTATGAAGAGAGCTTGTCTACAAAGCTGGCAGCCAGGCAGGCAGCCCCCACCCAGAGCGTGGCTGGGCATGGCCAGATCACACTTGAAAGCATCTGTGACCACACCTGACAGCTCCCTCTAGGGTGGGGTGTCCTGGCTACAGTCTGGGCCAAGGTGGGCAGGCAGGGGCAGATGAGAGCCCTCCCTGCTCCTGACCTCACCCTGACTTTATGGAGCCAAGGATGGGTGGGGCTGGGAGCGCTGAGGCAGCCTGGGACTTGAGGCTGAAACCCTTGGGGGTCGGCAAGAGGTCCCAATGGAGATCCACTTGGTTCATGATGTGACCTAGCAAGGGAGGCGGGGCAGAGGGCAAGGGTCTTGTCTCTCCCTGCCTGGGCCCCCAAGACCCAGGAGCTCAGAGGCTTTTCCAGGGGTGACCTCAGATTCATGGCCCAGCCCTGTCTCTTCCCTGTTGGGGAGCAGGCGGGTAAGAGGTATTCATTCAGCTGCTAAGAAGCTGCTCCACAGACTGAGGGCACGGGGGAAACCCAGGGTTGATTCCTGGTCTAACCTAAAGGCCATCATGGTGGTGTGAAACTGCAGTCCCAGCCACTCTGGAGGCTGAAGCAGGAGGGTCACGAGCTTGAGACTGGCCTGGGCAACCAAGCTAGTCCTTGTCTAAGGAAGAGCTGGAGATGGTGGCACCTGCTAGGAGGCTGACCCAGAATGCCACATGGTGAGACCATGTCATGAGAGAGAGAAAGAGAGAGAGAGAGAGAGGCATCTATGAGCTCTCTCAAATAGGACCCTGGGGTGTGGTGCTACCCCTAGCCCATCAAGGATAAGATAGTTATCACTGAGGGACCAGCAGGTGCTGTGGTGGTTAAGGCACTGGACACTCCTACATGGCCAAGCTTGGTTCAAGTCCCAGACCTGGTGGCTTGCTTTCTCACTCCCCCCGCCACCCTCTATCTCTCTCTGGTCAAATTAAAATAAATAAAATTAAAGAAATTATTATTATTATTTTTTTAAAAAGACACTTATCATTGAGTGGTCTGGAGTCTGATTTCTAGTCCCACAGGTGTCCCCAGAGTCTGGCTCTGGCTCCTTATAGTACTGGCAGGGTAAGCCTCAGCCCCGAAAGAGAAAGCAAGCAGAATGAGGCAGAGAGAGAGGCAGTGGGGGGCCTAGGTCCTAGAGAGGCAAACAGCCGCCTCTGCTAGTATTTACTGCAGGCAGTGGACTAGCAGATGGTGTAATGGTTACATCGCTGGACTCCCAGGTAGTTGACCGCAGTTCAAATGCTGGACCCAGAGGCTTGAAACTCACACCAGACACATGTGCGTGTGCACCCAAAATTATGAGACGAGGATGAAAGAGAAGGGCATGACCATCCTCCCGGGGGAGTGATTTCTCGCTTTCTGTCTCTGTCTCTTCAACAAGTGCATGCGCCCCATAGCAAAAATCTCTCTCAAAGCAAAAAACAAGGGACTGGCAGGTGGCGTGGTGGTTAAGGCACTGGACTCCCACGTGGCTGACTATGGTTTTTAGTCCTGGACCTAGTGGCTTGCTTTCTCACTCTCCCTCTTTCCCACTCTCTCTCTCATGTCAAATTAAATAATAAATAAAAATCTAAAAAAAATGAAAAACGAAATATCTGGGGGAACCAGTAGATGTGGTAGCAGTCCCATCGCTGGACTTCCACATGGCCGACCACGGTTCAAGTCCCGGACCCAGTGGCTTGAAACTCAAACTGAGCATATGTGTATGCATGTCTAAGATCCCAGGAGAAGGGAGGAAAAGGATTGTGGCATGGCCATCCCCCTGGGGAGTGATTTCTCATTTTCTCTGTCTCTGTCTTGCAAGTACAAGTGCTGTATAGCAGAAATCTTTCTAAAAATCAAAAAACCTGAGAATCTCAGGCCCTAAGGGGAGGAGGATGGCTGGAATAAGCCAGGCCTGTGAAGGCAGGAGAGAGAAACCGCCAAGATTACGGTAGGGGCCTAGGAGCAGCACCATCCCTCAGAGTGGGGAGAAGTGGGGCCTGATCCCACAGGTGGTCAGATAGAGGAGGTGGGATCAAGGGCAAGCCTCAGGCTCCAAGTAAGCTGGTACCCGCCGCCCCCAGAGCTCCCCTTTCCCTCTGTGCTGTGGGAATCAAAGAAAACAGGCTTTGAGATCACAATCCGCAAAAAGGGAACTGAAGCCTAGAGAAAGGAGGGCTTTGCCTCAACTCACTCAGGGAAGTCAGTAACAAAGGCCGTGAAGGCTCACGCCTGCTGTACTTGAGGCTCCCTAGCCTTTTCTTTTTCTTTCTTTTTGAGAGGTTTTTGCTATAGGGCATGTGGGCTCCCCAGAAAGAGAGAGACAGAGAGACAGAAAACGAAAAATCACACCCTGGGGGGATGGCCACTGTGCAATCCCTTCTCCTCCATTCTCCTCTCGGGATCTTGGGCACACACGCACACGCGCCCGGCGCTAGTTTAAGCTACCGGGTCTGGGATGTGAACCGCGGTCGACTACATGGGAGTCCAGCGACATAGCCAGCCTCCCCCATCCCCCTCACAGCCCCACTTGAGTTCTGGGCGGAAATAGCCAAACCCCTCTTCAGTTCTGGGTTGATAATAACAACAACTAATAATTATGACACATCGGGCCTTGGGCTAAATTTTTCACTTGCACTAAGTCACTGAGTCGTCACAGTAACCCATTATTACCATCAGCAGCTTTTTTCCAGACGGAGAAACAGGCACAAAGTGTCCAACTTGCACAAGTTCATCTCCTTCGCGGCAGAACCAGGACGTGACCAGGCGGTGTGGCTTCACAGACCACGCTAGTAAAGAACACACCGGACTGCTTGCTATCACATTCCATGACAGGCACCCTGTGGTTCAAATCCTGGCCCTGCTGCTTCCTACATTTTTTTTTTTTTTTAATAAACAAGTAACCACCTCCCTGGACTTTGTCTTCCTTAACAAAAAGACAGAACTGGCCACAGGCCACGGCCTGAAGCACTTCAGTGCCCAGCAGCGGGCCCTGCTCCAGCACCTAGTCATTTGTTTTAATTAGAGAAGGTTCCAGATGTGGGCAGAACCTTCCTTGCCCCGCCCGCTGCCCCTGTACGCAGGGGGAGGAATGCAGGGGAAGGGGCGGCCCCCAGCTGATCATTGCCATTAATAGAGGGCTGAAACACCGCCTGCTAAAAATATCCGGTTGGAGGCCCATAAAAGCGCAGCCGGCCAGGCGCCCAGCACTTCTAAGAGCCTGAGCCAGAAGCACAAGCAAGCCAGCATGACCGAGCGCCGCGTGCCCTTCTCGCTCCTGCGGAGCCCCAGCTGGGACCCTTTCCGCGACTGGTATCCGGCCCACAGCCGCCTCTTCGACCAGGCCTTCGGGCTGCCCCGGCTGCCCGAGGAATGGGCGCAGTGGTTCGGCACGAGCGGCTGGGGCGGGGCCGCGGGGGCG